TCTAAAGCACAGCTCTAACGACAGATCCTCACAGAGCCTCCTCACTGCTTCCCACTGTGATCCCGGCTCATAGCCCATCAGCAGCACACGGTTTGCCTCCGCCACGTTATACTACTTTTCCTGCTTATTGGGTCAGCTTTCAAACCCTGGGAATATTTCCGGTTACCAGTCAGGGGAACCCTGCAGGAATAAGATGGCCACTCAATGACCTAGTTGAGGAGAACCAGTAAGGAACTGTTCAGTAAAGGTGGGCAGACCTAAAGCAAACCAACACGAGACGGGCTGGTAGCACCGAAGTCATTAGAGCCCAGAAGCCTGAGGAGTGTGGGGAGGCAGAAGGGCCAGAACACAGAAGGGGCTGGTGATGGCTGCATCCAGGGCTGTGCCACAGAGTCACCCAACAAACACTGTGACCACAGGCAGAGGAATCCAGTCCCCGTGGCCCACAACCAGCAGGAAAACAGTGACGTTGACCGCTTTCATCTCCCAACCACTGATATCCTGCTAGGTCCTTCCACTGGCCAAACCCAACCAGATGCCACAAACCCAGAGATCCTTTTGACAAGATCCCTGTGCTGCTCCTCCAGGGGTGCACAGCCAGGAACAGGGGATGGGGTGCAGCTGGAGGAGAGAGTGGCAACTATCCAGCACGTCCCACAGCTACAAAAGCACCTCAATATAAAGCAGACTTTCAAAGACGTGTGCTGATTGGTCTAATTAATGTGTGCTGTGGAAGGCCTAATTACTCTAATGATTTGCATGTAAACTGTCAAGAGGATGAAGGATGAACTGAAGGGTCTAATTGGGGCCTTTCCTGCTTCTGGAAGTCCATCAACCGGCCCTACCGTCACAGCTGAGGATCACGCATGACCAACGTTTTGTTTTCCTTTCAGTGGGGGAGAAAGGAATGGGGACACCAGGAAGGAATTCATCATTCATAAGAGGAACTGCTACTCCTCTCTGTGCTTAAAAGCAAAAGACATTTTCCCCCCCAAATTAAAAGAGAATGTTTGCCATTGAAACGTGAGCTGGTAAAAAAAAGATAACGCACTCCCCAGCCTTCTCAGCAGTTATGTTATTACAGCGACGCGTGTCAAATAGTTACACAGGAAGCCGAGGAGTGATCCCTGCACATAAAAAAGCGCAGTGTGAAATGCGGACTTTTTCTGATCAAAAATCATCCTGAGGAGAGCTGAACAGCTTTGGGTCAAGGGACGATGTCTAGGGGAATTTTGTTGTTTTCAGAGAGAAGACTACTGGCGGGGACGTGCCGCTGCTCGCACACTCCCACTGGGCAGGCGCACTTGCAGGCACTTGTCTTGCTCTCGGGTCTTTACCCCCCACATTGAAACAAATTTCTCATTTCAGTTTCACTTACCTGTTACTTTCTTCTTAAAAGGGATGATTTATCAAGTAAAATAATCATCAACATCAAAGAATAGTTCACCATTACCAGTGTACACACACACACACACACACACACACACACACACACACACATACACATAAACACACTCATTCACTCACACCCTCCCCGGTATCATGCTCTGAAAGCAGAATTGTGATGAAGAACCACAAACTCGCTCCCCCACTAGAGGTTTGTTTTAGAATCTGAGCATGAGTCTCTGCATTCGGTGGTTCCTCCAGCCTAAAAATGGTAACTTGCTGCAAGGGAGCTATAATTTCTACTCCACACCTCACGATTTAATTGAAAATAGATGTAAAATAAGGAGTGTAATGAAGTTAATAACACCTTACTCTCACAGTCCATTAGGAGAAATTTTTTCCTGCGAAGTGGAAACTGGAAATTACCTCTGGGCCTTCTCACTGTCCAACACACCGGTCACCATGACACTCGGGGGGATTCAAGGCTGAAGGATGCAATGTTTCTCTTTCCTCTGGCCAGTTTTCCAAAAGGACCTCTCCTCTTACTGGGGTATCATACACACAGTGAGAGATAAAGGCCTAAAGAAACAGGCAGCAAACTGCCCTTCTACTCCTGATTGTATCCTAGTTGTAGAGTCTCAGGAGAAGTATTGAACTTTGCTGGGTATTAACTACTCCTTTGGCAAAGTGAGGGGACTAGATAAACCATTCCCAATTTAGTCTCTCTCACGTTCATGTTTTACTCCCTCTCTCCATGTCTCTTTCTCTCTTTCCTCCTTTCATCCCTTTATCCCTTCATCCCTCTCTAAATATAAAAAAATTATTAAAATATCATAAAATAAACATGCCTTGGGAATTATATGATGTGTTTCCCCTTTTTCTCTCTCATATTTTCCAGCCACCCTTCCCTAGAATCATCCCTGTGTGTTCCTTGCCTAGTTATTTGTATGATTTCAGCATGGATCCTAAAGGAGGGCCATGTCTTAGATTCACATCCTTTATAGCTCAGTGAATTTTTTTTGGTCGTGTGTGTGTGTGTGTGTGTGTGTGTGTGTGTGTGTGTTTAATAATCCTCACCCAAGGATATTTTTCCTATTGATTTCTAGAGAGTGGAAGGGAGGGAGAAAATATAGAGATGTGAAAGAGATACATCAATCGGTTGCTCCAGGGCCAGGGACCAGGGACCAAAGCTACAACCCAAACATGAGCCCTTGACTGGGAATCAAACCCTAACCCTTCCCTATGTTGGTCAATGTTCTAACCAGTGAGCAATATCGGTCAGGGATACAGGCACCAGTCAGTTTTGATCTCAATCCCTCCTATCTCTTCCTGACAGTCACAATACATTTCATCTAAGGGACATTCAGTGGGCCTCATGCTCAAGGAAACAAGTTGAAAAGAATATTATTGCTGTCATTGTCCCAGCAGCAGTATCTTATATGAGGAAGGAACACAGCACTAAAACAGAGGGGAAAATTACAGTCTCCCAGCATAACACTGAATGGCAGGCAAGCACCCCATGCATTGGAACATGTAGTCACAGATGACCACATCCTTTTTCAGGATTTTTTCATATACATGTGCAGATGTAACAATCTGCCTCTAGGAAACAAGAAAGGCATTTCACTAGAGTAAAAACTCTCCCAAGCATCATTTAGGGAGATTGAACAGGATTAAGTTTCTTAGGTGGTCCAGGCAACAAGTTCTCATTTTCACAGTGTTCTTTTATGCTGTGAGTCAAAACACAGATTCATTGCCCCCACAAGACTTGGGGTAGCGCCATATGCCAATGGGAACACAAGCTTAGTTTGGGGCTTCCCGCTAGCACTGGTAATGTGACAGGCTCTGATTTATGCTCACAGTCCAACCTATCACTGAGCAAAATATAAATGTGGCCAAAGATTTCATTTAGACTATTTCCTCTTTCTCTGATGTTCAGGGACCCAATCCTTCCTGCTAATCCACTTCCCCTTCCCTGCTTACCCCAACCCAGCCCTGCATTCCAGTTCTCTATATTCGGTCCCCTCTTGTTTACCAATTCCCCCCACAAAACTCTGCTCATCTGATGACACCTGGGACTGATCCAAGATCTTTACTAGTAAGTGCTACTATGAGTTACTGAAAGACAATAGCTTAGCATGTCTGCTTTGACAGGGTCATTGCATATTCTCTATGGAAGAATTTGGGCTTTGGGGACTAACCAACAAGGATGATATTTTGGTGTTAAGAGAATCTTTCCTGTGCTGCTCATATCACACTATACGAGCATCTCTGTCCCTGCGTGGGCATACGACAGACCCAGCGGCAGCCTGATATGAAAGAAGTCAAAGGAAAGGCTGAGAAATTATCTTTTTTTCTTTGTCAAAGGAAAGGCTGAGAAATTATCTTTTTATCCTAATTCCCCATATGTTGCAAAAAAGAATAAATATAAACACACACACACATACACACAGACAGACAGACACACACACACACACACGCACACAATTTTCACTATATTCTACCTAAAGATAGAAGACACTAGAGATGAGGAGAACACATAACCTTTGGGAGTTGAACTTAAAATACTATTAATATTTTTAGCCTCTGAAGGCTTGCTGCTCAGTGCACAGCCCTCAGAGTTGCGGAAGTTGCATTGAATAACAAAAAAAGAACTAGACCCAAAAGTTCCTCAATCCCCAAACACATCTGTGAAAAGTTTGTGATATGAAACCTCAGCAGTTATGGGGTAAACAGCTAATTTGTACAATGACAGAGTAAGATCTACAGCAGCAGAGTTGGAGAAGTGCAACTGATAAATCAATTCAATCAGTATTTTATGGGACACCTACTCTGATCCAAAGTCCAGGCCAGCTGCTGTGAGTATACAATCAATAAAGCACATCCCTATACAATAAGCAAATGAAGGAACCAAGCTAGCTTCTATCTCAGTACATGAGCAAAAGGGAAAAGAGTGGCTTGCCAGCTTTGATTTCTTACCCTGTTCATATGCATTCTATAATAGAAGAGATGACATTTTAGCTCAAAGACGAAAGAGTGGCCAACCTTCAGAAATCAGGGACTTAGTCTATTTTCTTGAACTAACCAGATTCTCATACACAAAAACAAACACAACCATATGGTTAAGAACGATGCTCATCAGCATTAAAACATTTAGAAGAAAGTCTGTGGACAATTAAACTCATTTACATACCTAAGAAGTTCTCAGAGTTTCTTTGCTCTTCAATATTGGAGCTCTATTGAATTCTTGTTCCACTTATCCCAAAGTTAAGATAAATGGGTGATGGAACGACTATATATAGGCTCAGCATTTGGCATCAGCTGTACAGTAGTGTTTTTGTATAGGTTAAAGTCTACTTCGGCTGGAATTAATGTAATTATATATAATGTTGACAGATTATGACATTTGCCTATTAAGACACTATACAAACATTCCAATAATTTACAGGCTTTTGACTCAGTAAAAAATAAATGAAACAAAATCCCAAGGGATATTGCTAATGGGGTAACTGAAATAGAGGTTTCAAAAGCACAGGGTTCAGGAAATAACAGTCAAAGAATAATGCATTTTCAGCCAAAACATATAGAGTGGTAAATGAATATTTAGTACTTACCACAAGACTGCTGTCTAGAGACAGCCTTTTTCCAAAGTCCCTTTTCTCAAGCTGTCTCTTTCCCTCCATGGGTGAAGTTATTTATTTTCCTTTGTGATTTATAAGAATTCCCCCTCTGTTTCCAGGGTCACTGCAAAAAGTGAACATGTTTTTCACTATCCACGTGAACAGTGTTTAAACCCTTGTTTTTTAACTTTCTAACCAGGAACAAGTATTGGAGCCAAAAATATCCAGACCCAAATAATAAGTATAGAACTGGGCTCTCTCAACGTCCAAGACCTCTCCTGTTGCAAATGTCAGAGTCATCTTTATGGAGGCCCTTGTGTTTTTATAGGTTTTGCTCATGGTGTTGGAGAATGGGTTTGCAGGTCGAATCAGCAGACTGTGGAAAAAAGCAAACAGTCCATTTCATGCCACACTTGCTCCTCACCCACCCTCTCTCTATCAGCCGGCACCACTCTGCTTCTGTGCACATAGATGCTGCCTGCAAATTCCATGAGATCAAACTGGCAAAACCCAGTATTGGAAAACTGAAATATGAACATTTAAAAATACTTAATTTAAACATATTTGAGGAACATTATAAGATACATGTCCTTTGGGACAAGATGATTTAGAAAGTTGATGACATCATTATTGCCAATGAGTATTTATTTGAACACCCACTGCATTCCACCATATGAGATATGGTTCATCCCCGCACTCCACTGAGCTTGCTTGTTCTAGAATTATTAAGAATTCTAGTTAGTAAGAATGTGTTGTATGTATTAAGCACAAGCTCCCAGGTTGCACCGAGATGGAAAAGGCTTGAACTAAGAGAAATGAGTTTGAGCCCAAGCTTTCCTTCCCATTAGCCAAGTGACTTTGAACAAGTCATTTAGCCTCTAAAAATCCAAGTTTCTCAACAGCAATCAAATGAAGTATGTAAAAAATAGTTTAAAGGTAATGACTTACAACTTGCCCATATGTCATTAAAAACTGGTAAACCTTACATTTACATTAAAAACTGGTTAACCTTAAATACTAGTTGACATAATTTAATGTCTTTGATGATTCAGAAGGCACTTTGAGATATAGAAATGCTCTTAATCCACACAAAATGCTCCTAATCTGCACAAATCCATTGTCCTGCTGATATTGAAGAGCTGAAGTTTATAAAATGCTATACCAATTACTTTTCATAAAATTGAAAATAAATATTTTTCACGACTCTCTCAATTGCTCTAACTCTGAAGAGGATGCAAGGAATTCCCCTTCACAGGCGACATGCAGCATGTGGCCCCTTTTTCTTGGTTTCTTCCACCAGGAGACAGTTGTGGCCCAGACAGAGTCTGCCCAAATTATAGTTAATTGCAGGAAGCTGATGGACCCCTTTTCCAGCCCTAGCTCCATTCTCCATCTGAGTCATTCTCTCTCTCATTTTTCAGAAACACTAATTTTAATTCATTACTGGTCCACTCAGAAACTCCTAGGAGTTCATTCTGAATTCAGGATAAAATCCAAATTTTTCAACATCATGTTTAAGGTCTACTTCCTGCCAACTAGTCTTTGCAATCCCAAACACACTAGGCACATTCCTGAGACCATGCTTTTGATCATACCTCTCACTTCCATCTGGTCTATCCCTCCCCTTGCTCCAACGCCTGGCTCAGCTCCCATCTCCTTCACAATACCTTCCTAGTCACTCCATTTGGCAATGAGTTCTTTCTCTCCCAAGTTTCATACAAGTCCTCAGTGCCTTACCTTATTAATCACCATCATCACCTAGGGTAATTCTTTCAATATAGTAAGTTCTTAATAGTTGCTTTTTGGTAGAGCCTAATAGTTAAAAACAAACTCTCTGAAGCATTTTTTCCCCCAGAACTAAGTTAGCTCTACACTATTACTATAGACAAAACTATAGTAATTACTATAGACAAAACTATAGTAATCCCTAACAAATTTCAGATGACTAGTAGTCATCTGAAATTTGTTAGAGAATTTACTTCCCACTTTCAACTGTTCCACCCACTTTGCAGCCCCTTCCTCCTCTAAGTGACTGGCTATACTGGTAGCTCAGAATACTCTCTGTAATAATGAATCCAACTAGAGATACTAATCAGACACTGAGATTTCCCTCTGAATCAAAAGCATACCCTCCTAAGTCTTAATCCAAAGAGCCATGGGGTTTGATGAGTCACAACAGATAATCAATCCTTTGACATTTAGTGCATATTTCTTGACTACCAGGGAGGACTCAGTACTTAGATGTTGATGACACAGCCATGTCTAAGACAAACTAGGTTCCTGACATTCTAATGGGAGGATATAGACAATAAAGAAGCAAACAAGCAACTCCAAATGGTGATAGGTACCTGCTCTGAAGGCAATACTCCCCAGTAGGTGGTGTAACAGTTTCAAGCATGTGGAAGAGGAGAATAGTTTAAATAGAATGGTAAAGGTGGGAGCCAGCCATGTAAAAACACGTGTACAGAGCATGCCAGGTAGAGAAGTCAGTCTTTCTGCTGGGAAAGATCTGGGAAAATTTTGTGTGTCCCTGAACAGGGAACAAATCAAGCTAGGAAGAGAACGTGTGAGTGTGAGCAAAGTGCTGAGAAGTAAGCAACAAAGGGCCCTGCAGGCCAAGGAAAATTGCTTGTTCTAAACACAATGTTGAAATCTGAGGGTTTTATTTTCTACTTTATTCTTTACTAGCTGATAACATTAAACAAATTATTTAACCTATTTAAGCTTCAGTTGATTCAGCTATAAAACAGCATCAATAGTAGGACCTTCATAGTAAGGTTGATATGATGATTAATGAGCTGGTCCATTTAAAGAGAAATGCCTGACACACGATAGGTAAGCTTTAAATATTAAATATTGGCTATCTTTTCTGGTAAATGTGATGAACTCATTAAGGAGAAACTCTGGTGACTGGATTTTATGCTCCATAATAGGCTAATGAGGCTTCATTTTGGGAAACGGGGATCCTTTTGACATTCTCTATTAGCCTAGTCTACCAGGTGGATGGTAGATTGAACAGCTTAGCCTGGTCAATTTATTTTCATACTTTCATTCAAAATATCAACTGACACAGCACAGGTATTGACCAATCAGAACGACACAGTTCAGGGCAACAGGCAATATAACTGCGGCTGTGGGTCCTGGCCAAACTTCAGCCTAAGTGTATGTCCTAACCCCATCCCAAGAACTTAAAAATGTATGTGTTAAACCATTAAACAATCATGGAAACTATCAAAGTTATACAAATGGATCAAAGCAACACTCCACCCCAAAAAAAGTGGCAACCAGGTTATGTCAACATGAAAAGGGGGAGGGATCCAAAAAGGAAAAGCCAGGAAGGCTGATACACCTCACCTGCAGTTCCATCAGAGAAGAAGAGTACCCACATTTACATATGACCAGCAAGGACCAGTAAGGTTCTAGAAGGCAAATGAGTAGGTCACACCACAACGACATTTTGGTATTACACTGGCCATTTGTTTCATCCAATAAATGCTCTTGCTCAGAGACCACTGTCAAGCAACCTTCTAATTTTACTTGATTCCTATGTAGGTTAACTTATAGAGGAATGTGCTGACCAGCAAATGTATGTAGGCGATATTTTGTTAAGTTATGTTTTCAGTACAATTTACAATTTGGCATCTGACTCTATATTCATGAGTTAGGGATTTGCTTAGTATATTAATCAGCGTGTACTGCCATAACACAATACCACAGACAAGGTGGCTTAAACAATAGACATTTATTCTCTCACAGTTATGGGGGCCTGACGTTCAAGTTCAAGGTGCCTGCAGGGCTGGTTTCTGATAAGGCTTTCTCCTTAGTTTGCATTTGCCTATTCTGTGTCTTCACATGGCCTTTTCCTTTGCATGCTTCTGCAGTATCTTCCTTTTCTTATAAGGACACCAGTCCTATTGAATAAGGCCCCCAACTCTTAAGACGTTACTTAACCTTAATCTCCTCCTCAAAGGCTCTATCACCAGTCCTGGCCAAATGGTTCCTTGGTAGGAGTGTTATCCCTTACACCAGAAGATTGTGGATTAGATCCCCAGCTGGGGAGGCAACTAACTGATCAATATTTCTCTCTCTTATTAATGATTCTCTCTCAAATCAGTAAAAAACAAAAACAAAACCAAAAACCTATCCTATTGCCAAATATAGTTATATTGGGGGTTAGGGCTTCCACATATGAGTTTTTAGGGGTCCAGTCCAATTCATAATAGTTTTGATCAGATTTCAAAGCCTGATTACATTTCAGTGTACTAATAATCAAATTTCTGAGTCTAAACTGCTATGAGAAAACTCTGGGTGTCACTGGCTACTCCCAGGCCATCTCCCTCTCCTCTGGCTCTTTCACTGTTTGATTTCACTACCACCACCCTGCACCCCACCTGGCTGTTTTATATTCATTCATTTCCATACTGCAAGTCAAGAGGTGCAAACTAAATTATTGAGATTTATTAGTCAGCTGGGCACACTGGATTCTGCCTACAGAAAGCAGTAAGAGATCAGCAGGCAACAGGAAGGAAGACACCATTCTGCTTCCAGCTCCTGATGCCCAGCCTCAACAGTAGTGCACTAGAGGCTCCAGCAACTTCCCTGGTGCCCCCAGGACTCAGCGTAAGAAAAGGCAGCCAGCTGCAGACTCCCTCCCCGGGGAAGGGGAAGTACCGCCTTCTGCTCACCAGCCCTTCCAACAGCTAACTAACAAATCCATGCAGTGGCTCCCTCTCTGCCTGAAATATCCAGATCAGTTTCTCATTCCCTGGCTTGACAACTGAAGCACACCCCAGAGAAAGACACCTTTGGACAGGCAGCAGCTTTCCCTGCACAACACGTGGCTTCCTTCTTGTGAGCCTTCTGAAGTCGCAGCACTGATTAAAGTCCTCCGACACTAAGATCCTGAAGAGCAGAGACAGTGTCTTATGGTCCATGTTCCCCTAGAGCTGGGGTCGGAAAACTGCGGCTCGCGAGCCATATGTGGCTCTTTGGCCCCTTGAGTGTGGCTCTTCAACAAAATACCATGGCCTGGGCGAGTCTATTTTGAAGAAGTAGTGTTAGAAGTTTAAGTTTAAAAAATGTGGCTCTCAAAAGAAATTTCAATCGTTGTACTGTTGATATTTT